AGTATTTGATGAACAAACGTATCGGCACACTGATCTTGTGTTTACAAAGAGAAGTGAATAAAGCTGTGCTTCAAGCAAAACTTTGTAGGAACAATGATCTTTATGGGGGTTGGGTGGGCTGAGGGAGTTCTTTTTTGTTCCTTTGTTTTTATAGAAAACAGTAAAGGTTGTATCTCTCTGGGCAGACAGTGGTTGTGTTTCAATTCATGGGCTGCATCTTCAGAAGGACGTAGCCCACCTGGACCATGTGGGCCACATCCTTCCTAGTCTGGGTAGGCTGCATGAAACTGCTGTGAAATGAGATGGTCTAGCCTTTGCTTGACATAAGTTTGTGTGACCGGAGGGTGTGTTCCAATTATAGGGGCATCACTCTCCTTAGCGTCCCCGGTAAGGTAATTTTAGGGGTACTGGATAAGAGAGTCTGATCGATAGTCAAACCTCAGATTCTGGAGGAACAGTGCAGGTTCCGTCCTGGCCGTGGAACACTGGACCAACTCTTTACCCTCACTAGGGTCCTCGAGGGGTCATGAGAGTTTGCTAATCCGGTCTACATGTGTTTTGTGGACTTGGAGAAGGCATTCGACCGTGTTCCTCGAGGTACACTGTGGAGGGGTGCTAAGCAAGTATGGGATTGTGGGTCTGTTGTTACAGGCTATTCAGTCTCAGTACAAGAGGTGTGAGAGTTTGGTTCATATTGCCGGTAGTAAGTCGGACCCCTTCAGAGTGGGAGTTGGACTTTGCCAGGCAAACAATCAGTTGTTATTGATTCTGTTCATAACTTACATGGACAGAATTTCTCGGTGCAGCCAGGGGCCGGAGGGAGTCCGGTTCGGTGGCTTCAGGATTTAATCTCTGCTGTTTGCAGATGATGTGGTTCTATTGGCGTCATTGCCCCAGGATCTTCAGCTCTCAGTAGAACGGTTTCCAGCTGAGTGTGAAGTGGCTGGGATGAGGATCAGCACCTCCAAATCTGAGTCCATGGTCCTCAGTCAGAAAAGGGTGGATTGCTCTCCGGTTTGGGAGTGAAGTTGTGTCTCAAGTGGAGGAGTTCAAGTATCTTGGGGTCTTGTTCACGAGTGAGGGAAGAATAGAGTGTGAGATTGGTAGACGGATCGGCGCAGCTTCTGCAGTTTAGCAGACTCTGTACTGGTCTGTTGTGGTGAAGAGGGATCTGAGTTGTAAGGCAAAGCTCTGTTTATCGATCAGTCTACGTTCCTACCCTCACCTATGGTCACAAACTTTGGGTAGTGACTGAAAGAACAAGATCACAGATAGAAGCGGTCGAAATGAGTTTTCTCCACAGGATAGCTGGACTCTCCCTTAGGGATAGAGAAAGAAGTTCAGTTATCTGGAAGGGACTCATGGTGCGTTCACACCGAACGCGATTTCAGCGTCAGGAGCAGCAGGTTTACATACAAAGTCTATGGTGGACGTGCTTCAAGCAACGTCGGAAAGTTCTGTGGCGCCTCAAGCGCGATTAGAGCAGCGCGATTTGAACGATCTGAGCGTTCAACGCGCTGAGGTGCAAATCGCTGAAGTTAGAAAATCTGAACTTTTGCAGCATCAACCAATCAGAGAGACTCCACTGTGTGACGTAGTGACATATTTCCCGACGGGACAGTTTACTGAATGATGTCCACTAACCTGAAAC